TTCAGCAGTAGCGTTGAAAGTCAGCGCGCTAAGATTTGCGGCGTGAGCGACTTCATTAAAGGTCTGCGTTCCCTTTGTTCAGTACCTCTCCTGCTGGTCTCTGGAGCAGTCTCAAGGCACCAGTCTCAGCAGCGCTTTCTCTGCTGCTTTGTGTCGGCTGGAGTAAAGTTCTTGGCACAGTCCTGCTCATGAATGTACTGTTTGAAAGACCTGCACCAGTCGGACTGTGTAAGTGTGAGCTGCAATATTTAAGAGAAAGATTTCACCTTCCTAAAACTTGGAGCATCAAAAGGTATTCTGAGGTCTTGGAGAGGTGAATGGAAAGAAGTTGACTTAAAATAGAGTTGTAATTAAAAAAAATAAAAAAATAAAATTGCCATGTACAGAAGTCAGTGGTGGACTTTGAGACCCAGGGAAAACTTTTGTGATGGTCCCTACTTTGATGTAGTTTGAAATAATTGAGTATGTACAGTGGTGGGGTAGGGAGCCAGGGCCAAAGTACTGAGGTATCTGACATTTTACTGAAAATTAAAAAACTACATATATATATATCACTATTCTTAAAATGAACAATAGAACATGAAATAGCCTTCACCCAGTGGACAAACGCGGACCTAACATGGAAGTGATCATCTCATGGCGACTTTCTTTTGCATCTGTGGCTATGACTAATACTGTCTTTCCATGTGATATCAGTCTGCCTGAAAAAACTGAAGAACTGAATAAAACTTCCAGGTTATCCAATCCACTTTATTTATATAGCACATTTCATAAACACAGTTTCCAAAGTGCTGCACAACAAAATACTAAATAAAACAAATCCATAGTAAAACAGTAAAATAATAAATGATCAGATCTGAAAAACCGTGTGTGCATATATGTATAAATATAAAAATAACAATAAAAAGATGAAAAGTTAAATAAAATTAAATTAAAATGAAAGGACCATACAACTCACGCAGTGTTAAAAGCCTCAGCATAAAAATGGGTCTTAAGACGAGACTTAAAACACTCCACAGAAGGAGCAGCTTTGACGTGGGGGGGTGGGGGGGGGCAGAGCGTTTCCACAGCTTTGGTCCAGCCACAGAGAAGGCCCTGTCCCCCCGGGTTTTAAGTCCCGTCCTAGGTACCACGAGCTGGAGCTGACCCTCGGACCTCAGCGCGCGGGGCGGGTGGTAAATTTGAATGATCCCGTCTAATGTCCAGACAAACTGACAAAAAGTGTTGCTAAGGTTTGTCTGGTTTTGAAACCTTTTAAAGATGGATTTGTGAAGTGGTATGACACCTGCCTGTTTGCTTGGCTTGAACTCTTGCTCAGTTTAAAACATGTTTCTAAATAATGGATGGTTTAAAAGCATGGAAAAAGCGCTCATGGACAAAGTTTTGCTCCAACTAACCATGGCTCCTGTTGACTTACACTGAAATCTATAAGCTCCTTTTGTTCTGTAACCGCTTGTGTCACATTCACCAAGTTGGGCTTAAAAACATCACATTTTAAGTGTTCTCTATGATCCTGGTGTTTACATTTCGATATTGTTTACACCAGCTTTCCTTAGCAACCATATTAGCAACCCTTTAGTTTGTATCTGCCCCTGCTGCGGAGCGTAGGTCACCCCGTCAGAACAAATGCCCATATAAGGAAATTGGCTCCAACTAGCTTATGTTTAAAGTAGCTTCTTTCGCATTCAGCAAAAAAAAATGGATGTCTTTTGCACTTGGTCAGAGCTCTCCTGATATACATGTATGTGGAACTTATACATGTATCGTATGTATGTATTTTTTTTTGTTTTCTTTGCAAAGATGCGCCTGGAAACGGCTGCAAGTCCTAAGTAGCTCTAAAACAGTAGTTGTTTTGTGTTTAATCAATTTTTATTTTTATTGATTTTTTCTGCCTGAGATGTTGCTGCAGTATAGTGTTCATGGTTTTACACTGGTCCGGACCAGAGCAGAGAGGATTCATGGTCCGAACCAAGAGGATCAGGTGAAAATCCACTGGAGGAACGCTAACTTTTTGAAAAATGCTAATGAAGCATTTAACATTTTACTTTGGACTAGAGTAGAGAAAAGGGTCCGAACCAAGCGGCTACTCCACCTTTTGACCCGTCCTGCTCCACCCAGAGGCTACTCCACCTCTGCTGCTGTGACCTGTCCTGCTCCACCCAGAGACTACTCCACCTCTGCTGCTGTGACCTGTCCTGCTCCACCCAGAGGCTACTCCACCTCTGCTCCTGTGACCTGTCCTGCTCCACCCAGAGACTACTCCACTTCTGCTCCTGTGACCTGTCCTGCTCCACCCAGAGACTACTCCACCTCTGCTCCTGTGACCTGTCCTGCTCCACCCAGAGGCTACTGCACCTCTGCTGCTGTGACCCGCCCTGCTCCACCTAGAGACTACTCCACCTCTGCTGCTGTGACCTGTCCTGCTCCACCCAGAGGCTACTCCACCTCTGCTGCTGTGACCCGTCCTGCTCCACCCAGAGACTACTCCACTTCTGCTCCTGTGACCTGTCCTGCTCCACCCAGAGACTACTCCACTTCTGCTCCTGTGACCTGTCCTGCTCCACCCAGAGACTACTCCACCTCTGCTCCTGTGACCTGTCCTGCTCCACCCAGAGGCTACTCCACCTCTGCTGCTGTGACCCGTCCTGCTCCACCCAGAGGCTACTCCACCTCTGCTGCTGTGACCTGAAGGGCTGTTGCTGATTATTACTATTATTATGTTTTTAGAATGATCAATTTTATTTTTATTTTTGTTGATACTGGACACCTGAATTTCTCCAACGGGGATCAATAAAGTATCTATCTATTTATCTATCTATGTATGTGGAACTTATATTTGTGTAAGTTATATATGTATTTTAAACAGTGTCTTGCCATAATTTTGTAACTCAATATTAAACACATCTGCTACTTTTTACAACTCTTTCATGTTTTTAATCTTTGGTCCTATCACATAAAACTTGAGAAACTATATTCACTTCTGCAGTTCGCTCTTACAATTGTGTCTGAGTGCAGTGATTTAAAACTTATGCTGACGCGACTCAAATCGCCCGATAGAGGAGATAGATGGCCAGCTGTCTCTCAAGGTCAGGGAGATTTTTTTTTTTCTTGCATTTGGAAAGACCTTAAATAGCTGAGTTATCAAATGTAAAATTCATGGTGGAATGGTAGTGCTTCAAACCCTGTGCGGAGAATCATAAAAAGGATGTATAGTGCTTTCTGGAGCCCGGACGGTCGAGAACAGAATATTTTTATCTTTATGTGTACTGCACGTTTCATACAATACATGAACATTATAATTACAGTCCTCAAATCACTCCGTAAGAGCCCGCGTGATGTGTCCCTTGAGGAAAAATGTACTTGAAGAAATTCTATTGTCTCCTTATAGGACCATTCAAGTACTTCCTGTCCTGGGAAAGCCTGGACTCCTCTGATTTACTGCAACCTCTGACCGCTCACTTGATCCGTACATGGAGTTTCTTATGTCCGAATGATTTAGCTTTGGTTTGTAAAGCAATGTTTATCCATGCTTAATGTGTTCATGTTTAATGTTGAAGTTGAGCCAATAACAACAAAGTAAGGGGTCATGAGTGAATGTCTCAAAGATTTTTTATTTCCACGTTGCAGCCTGTCGAAAACACTGGTTTAATGTACACAAGCATGTTTCACGGAGTAATTAAGAAGACTGCGAAAACTACTGTTATTACACCAAAAACCAAAATCTATACAGTTTCAAGGTTATGAGAAACAAGGAGCGAAGTGAAAATTTCAAACTAAATAGGCTATTGCTTTTTTCTGCTAGGTATATGTCCAAAACAATAATAATATATGTAAAAGTTTTTTGAATCACAAAATATTCGCAACTTGGCAAATTAAACTTTCTCTCCACACCAAGTTTATTTAACATTGTAGCACAAACATTAAAATATGTATCAGAAGAACTAATGTCAAATTGATGACAACAAAAAACATGTGCTTTATTAATCGACAATATTCTTATAAGTTAGTCAGTAATAGTGAAAGACAAAGAAATATAACTATAAAATCTATCTAATTAGTTCAGGGGTGTCCAAACATTACAGTAAGAGGCTCACGTTAGTTGACGAGGCTTATCTAGGGGCCAACACAACCCACATTATCAACGTGTTTTAACTGAATTTGGGCAGTTTTGAGCTTTAAAAATAGCGATGACGGAGCTGAAGTTGGCTGAATCACAAATGTTTACTATCAGATTAGCGCCATATATGGAATAGATGTGACAAAATCATAAACAAATGTGAGTATGTACATGTATACCCATTAAGTAAACGGCTGAACTCTCGAGGTTCTGAGCTTTACAATGAGTTCAGCATAATGAATGGCAGCATAATGAGTAAGCTAAAGTTGGCTGCAAACAATTATTATGTTAGATATTGTTAATTATCTCAAAGAGTATTTAGCAAAGGCAGAGGGTTCTCATATGTATATCCCCGACCTCAGTTACATTTAGACCATCTTATTCAAATAGAAAAGTGAAGAAGAGAGGACCACCCTTACTCAAAGTATACAACAATATTTCAAATAAAATGAAGAATATTGTGCTCTTATTTTCATTTGTTTACAAACGTTTACTTTTTACAAGACTCTTTCTGCTGTTACAAAACAAAGCTAGGGACCACAGCTTTAAAAAAGTGTTTCATTTACAGTCTATGGTTTTACCCCAACAACAACTGTAACTACGTATTCCAACACAACGTATTTCTTTCCCCTCTGAGTGAGAGAGTTGGATAGCGAGCTGCAAATGAAATAAACGCAAAGCCGTGCACCATAAAGCAACATTAACGAGACTGCCATACACACACACACACACACACACGCACACACGCACACACACTTGGCACCCTTGGCTCTTGACAGCGTGCGTAAAAGTGCGTACGGAGGGGGCAGCAGAGTACAGCATGGGCAGACTGCAGTAAATACAGTGAGGGGAAGGCGGGGTTTGACATGTCGGCTCTGAAAACATGCTCCAGTCCAGTATTTCAGGTGCACAAGTCGCTGCGAGAGCCCACCACTGCGCATCAGTCCTTATAGGAGAGAGTGGAGAGACAGCGGCACCGCGCGTTTCCACTGGATATACTTTACTGCAAAGTGCTCATATACACTACTGGGGGATTCAAAAGCGAGCGACGCGATTGTCAAACACGCAGAAGGAGTTTTATCGCTGTGAGGGAAGCACTTTCTTTTTGTTTTGATCCGGAGTGTGGAGGTTCCCATAGCTGTAGTGCTGCTGCCGCTGCTGCTGCTGCTGCTGCTGCTGCCGCTGCTGCTGCTGCCGCCGCTGCTGCTGCCGCTCCTGCGTCTGCCGCTGCTGCTGCTGTTGTTTCTGCGTTCCCTCCCCCTTTGTCGAAACTCAACCAAAACTCTTCCCCAGACCGCAGTAAAGGATATTTTCACTCGTGGGTTGGATTAGTAACAAGGTAAGCGAGTAAATGTCCTGTTTGTGTCACTTTATGTCTTTAGAAAATTACGATTGGCCATGTCGAAAACGCACGCAGGTAAGACCGGAAACCAGGTAGTAAAGTAGCGAGCTAGCTTTAGCCACAATTAGCCCACATGTCAAGACCATAATTTACAGAAATAATAAAGTTTTAGGTATTGATTTATATAAATATTTAGGCCATTTATTTAATCTCAAACCTTTTGTTACTGTTTGAATGTGTTGCAATCCCACACAGATTAAGATTATGATACCTTCTTCAATTGTGTTTTTGTTAGCAACCTAATTACATATTTACCAAAATGAGTTAGCTAACTACTTACGTATGAAGGCTACTGTTTGGCACACAAATATACAAGTAATCCCTCAAAACAGTAATCAACCAGGAATCCATGACTTTATTATGATTCAATTAAACATGTTTTCTTATGGTGGATATGCCCTGCTGGCTATTGAGCAACTTTGGCTTCTCTATGGGACAGCACCATTGCATGTAAGTATTAGTACTCATTTGTTGTTGATAAAGTGTTCCACCAAATGTTGATTTATGACTGTGAGAATAACCAGCTGCATCATGCTTACAAGTGAAGATCTAATGTCAAATTGATGACAACCAAAAACATGTGCTTTATTATCCGATAATATTCTTATAGGTTAGTCAGTAATAGTGAAAGACAAAGAAATCTAACTATAAAATCTATCTAATTAGTTCAGGGGTGTCCAAACATTACAGTAAGAGGCTCACGTTAGTTGACGAGGCTTATCTAGGGGCCAACACAACCCACATTATCAACGTGTTTTAACTGAATTTGGGCAGTTTTGAGCTTTAAAAATAGCGATGACGGAGCTGAAGTTGGCTGAATCACAAATGTTTACTATCAGATTAGCGCCATATGTGGAATAGATGTGATATTTAAGCTTTTTTGGTAATCAATATATTGGGACTAAAGGTGTATGTGTTAAGTCAGTGTGGAGGTATGCTGACCAACCTGTTTGGTCACACGCGTCTATGGGCTGCTGCTTTTTGTTTACGCAATTGTGGTAAACGTGGAAATTACTGAGTGGATTTAGTTTTTGCAATACCAAGTTGTTTTAAGTTACACATTTTTATTTTCTATTCTAAGGCAATGCTATATATTTTGCACCATATAGGCTGCAAGTGGTAGGCTAGCATATTTCTTTGTTGATGCCATTCTGTCAAAGCTTTTGGAGACTTTTTGTATAGCTCTAAATCACCGTAGTTATCTCAGAGGACTTTACAAAACTGTTAATTCGCCAACACAGATCAGAGAATCAAATAGGGATGTACCGATCCGATATTCAGTATCGGTATCGGGGGCAGATATGGGTATTTAAGTTTACATTTACAGAGTTCGCACACTGGTTAAGTACTGGCTTTTTGTGTTAATTCAGTTATGTACCAGCTCTTTTCCTTTTGTTATACTGAATTTTGAGGGCCGCTTTTTGATAAATGTTCCTCTTTGATATTTCTTTTATATCAAGTTTATTTTAAAGGTCAAATATTCAATACTGATGTGATTCTTACCTATGACCTAACTCAGTAGGTCTGTTAACCAAAAGCCAAACAATATTTTTGATCATGTTATAATAAAAAAAATATTTTTTTAAGTAATACTGGTTGCTAAATTTTTAATGCTTTGAAAATATTAGAAAAAATCGGATCGGTATTGGCAAAACAATATTTAAGAATATCGGAATCGGATTGGATCACAAAAAGTCTGGATCGGTACATCCCTAGAATCAAACCGTTCAACAACAAGAAATGCAATGATAAAATACCACTTCGAGGCTTTGGTCCACAAGAGACCGATGTCCATAAATGTAAAAGTCCATAAATATCGTGTGTCCTGGTAGTAATCTTAGTAACCTTTTCACTACACATCGGAGTCTCAAAGTGGTTTACAATTGTGATATTTGGGAGTGGGGTCGCCAGTACAGGAGGCGCATGCCAGACCTATTGTACATATTTTTAGTGGCCGGGGAAACCAGAGCACCCGGAGGAAACGTACGCAGACACGGGGAGAACATGCAAACTCCACTCAGAAAGGCCCTGGTCCAACTGGGATTCGAACCCAGGACCTTCTTGCTGAGAGGCGAGAGTGCTATCCACTCAGCCACCGTGCAATATAATTTTTGGATCAATATTTCACATGTTCATTTGCGATTGATTCCTTTTGTTAGTTTCTTTTTCCTTCCATAATTTTGCAATATTATGAGATTGTTGAATAAGTCAATGCTATGGTGCAATATTTCTTACCTTTTGTCTTGATAAAGGTAATTCACAATGTTTACTTTGATTATCCTGGTGTAGGCCTAGTGTAGTACATACAGTAGGTTCAAAATTCTATCAATAGTGTATAGCAATGTTGTTGTTGTTTTGACCGTGTTGGTGTATTGTGATTGTGAAGGGGATGGACGTGTACTTTTGGGCGCTATTAAGTGCTCTAATTATACTAAGCTTTTGATTGATCTCTTGTCTGTTGGGCATGTTGCTCTGTATCCGTTTTCACAGTGTGTCATTAAACTGATTTAAAGACGAGCAGGTAAATTTCCAGTTTATGTTGGTCACAAGTCTATGCATACATATTATCATGCCATGCAGTATTGATACTTGTTGACAAGGCTCCTTTATTTCACTAATGGCTCACAAATAATCCTTTTTTTATAGATTACATTTCATACAAGTTTATCATTCCAGTCTGATTTCTTTCTTTATACCACCAGGATTGATGGTGGCCAATTTTCCTCTAAAATATAATTATCACTGTCATTCTGTGGCAATTTCATACCGTCCCATTTCTACTGTAGATCACTCAGTTGGAAGCAATAACAAATTCATGGGGACACGCAGGTGCAGACCTAGTTTAGCGACGTTTAAAATATATTTGTAATTGTTAAACCGAGCAGCCAAACAGTTACATAATGCATTTGTTGTAGATGAAAGAAAAACATGTTTGTTACTGCTCTCACTACACCGTCATGCATTCTGCTGTGGTAAGGGGCTGGGTCTTGTCCTCCCCCAGTCGTCCGAAGTAAGAATAATGGGTGAGTCAGCGCGGTGTGGATGACCCGAGCACTTTCACAGCATTGAAACGCGGGGTCCGTGTGATGTCTGGGAAGTGGCACGACTGGAGCGCAGGAACTGAAGCCGAACATAGGAAGTGAAAGCCGCATTGTTGCCGGCGGAGTTTGACATGAACGCACTGCTTCAGGGAGTTCAACTTGTGTGAGGTTTGTTTGTGTTAGGGCCTGGGTCAACATGCTTCTTCGGAAGTTGGGCAAGTAAATAAACCAGGATTCAAGAGTACAGAGGACACGTACAACTTTTAAATGTTGGATTTCGGAAGTATTTTAACAGATAAGAGTTATTTTAATGGTTAGATGTTGTTTATATCTCAAGTAAAAAAACACAAGACAAATCATTTCGTACTACTGTAGTGTTATAATGCATATAATGTGTTTTATGATGCCTTTCATGACAATCACATGGCATAACAGTGGTAAACTATATGCTGTAGCCATAGCTGCCCTGTCTGCCTTGTTCCACTGTTCAACTTTTAAGGATACAGACGTTACATTATAAGTAATACGTTTTAGAAAGTTGTAGACGCTATGAAGTGCGTTTGTGAAGGAATGGCGGTGTGGATACTTATTTAAATCCCATTTTTTGCAGCCGGCTCAAGTATTGGTGTGTGAGGTCCTAGTACATGACGCAGAAAAAAAAGGACGCTTGAGGATTACCAAACCATGTGTCATCAGGTCCAGTAATTGTATGTAATCACTGTTCTTAGATAAGATGAAAACAGGTGCAGTAGGACAAGTAGAGAAGTGTAAAATTCTATGACACAGTTTATGGTCAGTGAAGCTGTAGGGCCTTGACCACTTCCAGGCACTAAACCGGGCTGAGAGTGTAATTCCACAAGGAATCTAGTTCATAGCTTTCTCTGGGTACTCGTTTGAAAGCCGGCTCCGGAATAATAAACTAAGGATGAAATATGGCCCCAACACATTCAGGATGTATTCATGAAACTACAAAAACCTGTAACGCTAATAAATAATGGAAACAAAGTGCAGGACATGTAGCAATTCTAATATTTCGGTTCCTAAAGGGTAAAAGAACCAAATATACATGCAATTTTAGCCCAAAAATGTGAACTACTCCCATGTAGTTGGAGAAGTGGAACATTTAACTCTGATATAGTTTTAGATCTAATTCAAATATGGCTTGGTCTAATTGAACCCCACAACTTTTTCCCAGTTTTTCAAAACAAGTTCAACATTTAATGTGGCGCAGACTGGGAACTTATGGTATTCAAGCTAATCTCGTCATAAACAAGAAGCGTTCAAACATCCAAAAAGGATAAACTTGATTAGAATAAACATCCTTTTTATTCAAGGTCACTAAGAGTTTATATTTCCTGAGCATTCTTTGAATCATTTTAAGTCTTCTCCTTTTTATTTACTTGCTCAATGAGTAGCTATTCATACCAGTTTTAGCAAATGAAGGTCAATAGATAATTTTAGTATCTGATTTTCAATACTTTCGACAAGTTTCTTATCTTGGTGCAGATGGATGGAAAAGCAACCGTAGCTCTAGTTTTCATGAAGCTGCAATGCAACACGCTACAAAGGGCACATTATGCAGAAATGTCTCTTTTGACCTTTTTATAGTACCGAGACCGAACCAAAAATCTACATCCCTTCAGCAAGGAGTTGTTGTCTTGCCACAGAGTGTAACGTGCACACCACTGGGGGACTTGTGTGTTGTTGGGTGTGAGCCCCGGTTAGCAGGGCCATACATCAGCCACAGCCCTGGAGCAGGAGGGGAGTCTCCGGGCTGTCACCACCAGCAGACTGCAACAGCTCAACAGAAAGATCGATTCATCCGCGGCCTGAAAAAGTGCCACAAATTGCATAATAGAATCACTGTAGTTGAGTCAGGATATTTTATAACCTGCT